AGTGGGTGCTGAGTGGTTTGGGGGTTCTTAGCACCCCAAAAACCTCGGTTGTCCTATAGACAGGAGGGTGCTGGAGGGCTTTTGGGTGCTCAGCACCCCAAAAACCTGGGTCTCCCTCTAGAAAGGAAGGTTTTTGGGGTGCTCAGCATCCTGGATCCCTTGGTCCCCCTGTAGATAAGTGAGTGCTGGAAGGTTTTTGGGTGCTCAGCACCCCAAAAACCCGGATCCCCCTATAAAAAGGAAGGTTTTGAGGTGCTGAGCACCCCAAAAATCTGGATTGCCCTATAGATAGGAAGGTGCTAAGCATCCTGGATCCCTGGGTCCCCCTGTAGATGAGTGGGTGCTGAGTGGTTTGGGGGTTCTTAGCACCCCAAAAACCTCGGTTGTCCTATAGACAGGAGGGTGCTGGAGGGCTTTTGGGTGCTCAGCACCCCAAAAACCTGAGTTCCCCTATAGACAGGTGGGTGCTGGAGGTTTTTGGGTGCTCAGCACCCCCAAAACCTGAGTTTCCCTGTACATAGGTGGGTGTTGGAAGGTTCTGGGGTTCTCAGCACCCCAAAAACCTGAGTCCCCCTATAGACAAGTGGGTGCTAGTAGGGTTCCCTTATAGATAGGTGGGTGCTGGAGGTTTTGGGGTGCTCAGACCCCCAAAACCTGAGTTTCCCTGTACATAGATGGGTGTTGGAAGGTTCTGGGGTGTTCAGCTCCCCAAAAACCTGGGTCCCCCTATAGACAGGTGGGTGGTGGAGGTTTTTGGGTGCTCAACACCCCCAAAACCTGGGTCTGCCTGTAGATATATGGGTGCTGGCAGGTTTTGGGGTGCTCCCCTGACCCCCACCCTCCTCCTCCTCCTCCCCACAGCCGGTGCCACCATCTCGTCCCAAGCCAACGGCTCCCTTTGGTGGGAACCCACCAAGTCCTGGGCCTTCATCCGGGGTTTGGGCTACCATGGGGGCTCCCTCATTTGCCACCAGCCCGGCCTCTACTTCGTCTACGCCAAGGTCCAGCTGGGGGCCACCGGGTGCCCCACGCGTGCCTCCACCCTTCACGGCATCCACAAGCGCACTCCGCGCTACCCCGGGGTCCTCGACCTCCTGGTCAACCGGGTCTTTTACTGTCCCCAGGTCCACCAAGTCCCCTGGGCCAAGCAGAGCTTTGTGGGGGGGTTGGTGCACCTGGAAACGGGGGACGAGGTCTTCACACGGGTGCAGGCGCCCGAGTTGGTGCGGGTGGTGGACAGCACCCGCTCGTATTTCGGGATGTTCATGGTGTGATTTTTATTTGTTTTTGTGGGGTGGGGTTTAGGGGGAGGGGACTTTGGGTGTCACCTCCTGGTGTCATAGTGGGGGAGTCACCAGGGGCTCGTATGGGGTGGTGATGACCTTGGCCATCCAGATATGGACCTTGACCCACCTGGACTCCTGGGTCTTTCTCTGCAGGATCCCCAGGGTCCCTTTGAACACCCTCAAGGCCCCTTTGAACACCTCCTAAAGTCCCTGAGGTCCAGGATTGGGTGCAGGGTGGATTCTCTGGGGGCTCGTATAGGGTTGTGCATGGGGTGTTGATGAGCTGGACCCTCCAGAATTGGACCCTGACCCACCCAGGTGCCTGGGTCCTTCACTGGGAGCCCTTGGAGACCCCTTGGACCACTCACCAGCACCCCTGAGGTCCAGGATTGGGTGCAGGGTGGATTCTCTGGGGGCTCGTATAGGGTTGTGCATGGGGTGTTGATGACCTGGACCCTCCAGATTTGGACCCTGACCCACCCAAATGCCTGGGTCCTTCCCTGCAGGACCCCCAGGACCCCTTGGACCACCCCCAGCACCCCTGAGGCTGAGGACTGAATGGAAATGTGGATTCTCCAGGGGCTCGTATAGGGTTGTGCACGAGGGGGTCCCAATACTGAGACCACCCCTCAACCTCCTGGACACCCAGGTCCTTCTCTGCAGGACCCATGGGACATCTTTTTATCTATTTATATATTTTTTGGGGAGGTTAACCCTGATATTCAGGAGAGGACCCCCAAACCCCAACCTTTCCTCTCCCCCCAACATGTACCTGGATCCCTGTCCCAGCATCATCTCTGCCGTGCCTCAGTTTCCCCCTCAGTGGGGGTGCAGGCAGGGGTTTGGGGACCCCCCAAACAAATTGGGGGACCTCCTCCCTCACCCTGAGCTCCCCCATCTTGAGACAAAAATAAAAGCAAAGGGAAACTGGTGGGTGTCAGAATTTTATAAA